AGTTGCACTCATGTTGGTTTTAAATATATTTAATCTAATTCAATTCTATATGTATTATTGTGAATACTTTTTATTTTAGATGTTGTAGTTTAATATAGATTTCTCAAAATCTATTTATTCACCTAATTATTCATTTGTATTGATATTTGTATTGTTTTTTTTTTTTATCAATTATATGATTTTAAAACTCTTGTACTGGGGTTTTATTATGTACAATATGCCTAGTATAAATCTCATTTCTACCTTTTGTCATTTCTAATAATCATTAGAACATTTGCACTGATTGATTGATTGATTGATTGATTGATTGATTGATTGATTGATTGATTGATTGATTGATTGATTGATTGATTGATTGATTGGCGGAGTAGATAAAAGAGAAAAAGAGCAGTTTTAAATAAGGCACACAGTTGGCTAAGTCTTGCCTTGGTTTAAACGGTATCAGTAAAAAAAGAATAAAAAACGCATGTTTGAGTTTGATGCTACGCCTAAATGTGCACTGTGTTAAATCTATAGGTGCACATTTTTTTTTATGCATCTGACAATCTGGGATTCATTTTAAAGTCCACTTCCTTCCACTATTCTGCTATGTTTAATTGGCAGCTTGGTAGACCAGTGAATTACTAATATTTGGGTTTAAATCACATATAATGAAATAATTCAGAGTAAAGAAAAAGGATTTAAGAGGTTTGACAGAGCCCTGCAAAGGATTGTGAGGGGAGCTAAAATCTATCTCAGAGATAGAGGCACAGATATACTGTTGATGTGCCTCTATCTCTGTGCTGGGGAGTGGTGGCGTAGAGGTTAGGGCATTGAGCTAGGAATCCTGAGATTCTGAGTTCTAGCCCCACTCCCACAGACTGCCACTCTGGGTTCCTGAGCAAAGACCCTTAACCCCACACAATGGCAGCCCACTGCTCCCCAAGGGGATGGTTTAAATGCAGATAGTTCATTTTGTTGTTATGTACTTGTGACAGTCTAATGACAATAAAAAGCTGGAAAAAGGAGAGGAAAAAAAAATCTCAGTTAGGGTCTCTGCTTTAGAGGCCCTATAGGAGCAAGTCTCTGACAAAACCTTTTGTATTGAAATGTTTCCATCAAGCAAAAGCCATTTTAACAGCAGACCCACCGCACAGCTCTCTAGCCTTAACTGCTAACACTAACCAGCTGCTGGTAAATGTAGAGTTAGTTTATTTCTGTACATTTTGTTCTTGTTTTTTCTATTCGATTACGGTACAGTTAATTAAGATGTTTTTAAGCCATCATAACGTGCTGTCTTGTTTTTTCCTGTATGCTATGGTGCATTGATTGATGTGATTATTATAAAACTGTTTTATATGGATGGCAACATATAGTTTTGTATACCACTGTATAAATTGTTAACAGACAATATGGGCATCATGATTCTTTATGATAAATACTTTTATCAGAGTCAAAATGTGGCACTAGCTTGAGCTATCTAGTTTGCAAATAAAAGGTTAATGTTTGCTTGAGTGAACAAACTCGTCCTCTGATGTAAACTAGTAATTTACTCAACACTGGTTTAAATAACCAGGCTTCACCACCTTAGTTTATTGCATTCTGGGAAAGAAGTTCAGTGTTTAAGATGGAGGAAACTGATGAATGCCGTGTCTCTTTCTAACCCAAAATGGCTTTCATTTATCTATTTTTAATTAACGTTTGTTTAAATAACTTTATTTCAGAAAGCTGCAATTCAACATTTGCATTTAAATAATAACATGGCCGCTTATTTGTATGTATTATAAAATTAATACTGAGCAGAAAATCAAATATTTGGGTCAATAAAAGAGAGAAAACTGAATATAAGAGATATAAATAGGGAATGATGTAAGAATAGTGGTTAAAAGAGCTTAAAAACAGTAGAGCAGAACCAACATGCCACAAAGCATTTTGTTGTGGAGTGAATTTCATTGCTGTGATCAATAATACCCACTTTTTGTATGTTGCACTGAGGGATTATGTTTTTGTGTATTACTAAAACCTCTGGTTGCATTAAAGCAACAATACAAACATTTTTAGCTATGAGAAAGCAAACTCTAATACACTCTTTGTAGAGGCTTAGCAGGTTCTTCTGCATATGCACCAAGATGTTGCATAACATCTATAAGTCCACACCGAGGACAGCATTTTCTTCACAGCCATCTGTTGGGGAAGCAGCATCAGAGCCGATGACTTAAAGAAAGCAGGGGAAAAAGAAAAACTGCTGAAAAGAAAAGTCTAGTTTTGTGCTTCATAGGGAAGACTGTGATCTTTTTGGAGCTTAAAGAAACAGAGAAAGATGTTGCAGAAGCCCAACTGCACAATGGAAAACAAAACACCCATTTGTCTGTAAATGTACCAATGAAGCTACAGATCCTTACTCAGATGGTTCATAGCACATTTAGCCAAAACAGGAATACAGGAGGTTATTCCCGTCATCTGTACAAACCTTTTTATAGTCAGCATGCAGAAGAGGGCACTCCTTTGACATGCATGATCTACTTTGCCTTTTTGTTCTTTTTTCCCCCTCTGTTTGATGAGGCACTATAACTCTTTCATTTTCCTTTGTCTTTTGGGATCATCTATTTTTTTTCTCACTTAGTTAAATTTATTAAGCTTTAAGCAGAACAGAAAATATGTAGATTTTATGGGCCTGTATATATATATATATATATATGTATATATATATATATATAGTGCTTCCACAAATTGAATGAAAACAAAATTGTAAAAGTAATGCTATCCATTAAATGATTTCACAAAAAGAATGAGAAAATAACAAAAAAAAAAGTGCCTAAATGTCAGGAAATAGGAAGATAGGATAAATAAATTTTTGTCTTTTTCGCAAATAAAGTCAAATATGTGTAAAGAGATCTAATATGTCAATAAAATTTAGTTCAGCTTCCCTCAGAAGTCTCTTAGTTTGTAAATGTCTGGGTAACATCTCGTTTAAATACAGCTGTCGGGTGAAGGCCTCAGTCATAAGGAACATAAAGGAAGAACCTGCATTAGTAAGACCAAGATTAAATGAATAAAGTTGGAAGGATTAAAGTTATGGATTTGTGTACATTGTAAAACATTAGATCACATTTTGATATTGCACAAAGTTTAGTTTTTTTCATTGTTAGAAAAAGAGAAAGAGTAAGGCACAAATGCAAATCTAGCAAGACATGGTTGTCCATCAGAACTGATGGACAAGAAGAAAGTTTATCAGATTAACAGCTGATAAACAGGCCCATAATAACTCGGAACAGCAGATCTTACCAGCTATGCTGGGTGATATGCCTTCAAGACAACAGCTAATGTTGCAATAAAGAAATTTCAAATTTATGACAATGACAAAGAAAGCAACTGTTGAGCAAAAGCCACCAGGTGCTGTATTTGTAGAAAGCCATCAAGGAAATATGTCATGGTTTTGGTTATATTGTGCTTTACTTT